TGAAAAGAGGTAAAATTTGCTTTAAGAGAAGTTGGAAAAAGAATTTACAACTGCATAGGTTTAAAAGTCCTCCCACAGATACCTCTTCTGTGACGACCCAGGGGCTTTGGGCTCCTCTGGAGCTCTCCTCCTCCCTACCTATCCTGACATAGGCTCCACCTAAAGAATGCTCTGTGCTAGCCAGCTCAAGCAGTCACGAGATGATCTTCTCCATCTGGCCATACTCGGCTAAACTTCTTTGGTTATATTGGTACTGACTGAAACCATGAGCAAAGGAACAACGTCAGTAACGGATAGACTATGAAAGTGGCTCATAGCCAGAGTAATGATAGCACACAATGTTCTTTGTCGAGATTAATTTTTAATGGAAAAACAAGTGCCTGAAGGAGAAATGATTCCTCGCTACCAAATACAAATTTCTTTGTGGTAAAACACGCAGAACAGAGCATGAATCGCGTTATCATTTCTAGGTGTTCCGTGGCAGTAAGTGCATTCGCATTCGGCACCCCATCTCCTCCATCTATCTCCAGAACTTTCTCATCTTCCCAAATTCAAATTCGATCCTCATTAAACACGAGCCCCCAGCCCTCGCCCAATGAGCCCTGGTAACTTCTATTCTTCCTGCCTTTCCTCTATGACTTTTGACTTCTAAAAGTAAGGTACAGGTTAGATCTTAAATGTCCCCAGAGACCCAGGCACTAAAGCCTTAGTCTTCAGTTCAGCAACTTGAAATGCTAAGGTCTAATGGGCTGTCTTTAGTCATCAAGGGGCACATCACTAAAGTGAGTAGTAGGACTCTGGCCTCTTCCTTTCTTGTGCTCCAAGCCAAGAGGTAAACGAATGCTCTTTTCCTCTGATGTGCCACAGCAGAACCTAAACCATCCACAGGGAAGGCGGATCACAGACTTAAACCTCCACAAGTGTGAGCCACGCCAGCTGTTTCCTCTCTGGTATTTGTACAGCAATGCCAAGGTACCTCATATGAATTATAACGCATGCATAGAGTTGCATAACCATCACCACAGTCAAAACACAGAATAGTTCCATTACCCAAAAACCTCCCTGCTATTCTTTTACAGCCACTCTAATCCTTGCTTTAGCAACATCCCAAAGTTTTTCCATGATGTATATTTGTTTTAATTCATCTCAAAGTATTTCATTTCCCCTGTGGTTTTAAAATTTTTCTATTGAGGGCTGGGAAGGTGGCTCAGTGGTAGAGCACTTGCCTTGCATGCATAAGGCCCTGGGTTCGATTCCTCAGCACCACATAAGCAAAAAGAAAAAACCCGGAAGTGGCGCTGTGGCTCAAGT